GTTAGGTTTAGGGTTAGGTTTAGGGTTAGGTTTAGGGGGGATAGGTTTAGGTTTAGGTGTTAATTTTAGGTTTAGCGTTTACAACGTGCTTTTTTCTCTGCGCTGTTGTCACGCTGTGATGACATCAGCTACGTGGTTTCATCGAGCGCCCTTTAGTCGAACGCGGTTTTGTGGTGGAACCCATTTCATCAGATGCAAAGAGTGCCTAGACCAGGGCTTTCAAATGCGACCTACAGGCTGGATGTGTCTTATACTGGCCATGCCCACGCCCGGTTTAGCGAAGGAAAAATTCCCGATACGTCACGTGACGCTTCCGTGACACTGCGAGTTTGACACCCCTGGCCTAGACTGATGTTGAATTTAAATTAGCAAGAAGTTGGGAGAGGGCAAGGAAGAAAAGATACTATAAGTTGCTAAACATATTACAAGCGCCTTATGAATTAAAAAATCAATGTGTTACAAACCCATTTTGTTTGTTGAGATGCTCTACAACTGCCTTGCTCAGTGGTGCAGTTAAAGTCCTGTTTTCCCGAAATAGTCATTTCGAGACCTCCAGTAGAATTATGATGGTGTGCTCTGAGTGAAAGCTGGAAGGGTAACAGAGAGTTATGTGAATGTAATTGGGGATGTGTGGGGATCTGGGAAGTCTTTTGCTTTTGAAAGAAAATGCCCCATGTACATTTTGTATTTGCAAAAGGTTAGATTCCTACAGGCAAATTTATTTCTTGGAACAATCAAAGTGGTCATACAGTCACATGGTCACATGTTCATTCCTAGTAGTTTTATGGGAAAGAAAGGCACTGTTTGAGTATCTAGCCTTAACACATGCTACTTTTTTGAATAAAATAGACACTGCCCCCCCCCCCCCTCATTGAGGTTGCATAACTCCTCCTGACCGTAAGCCTGGATTTTATAGAAGCTTCCTTCCTTCACAGGAAACAAGAGAATCTCGAAAATGCACTACAGGATTCCGTCCAAAAGTTAAAACGAAACAGAAATAAAACTTGTAGTGGTATATAAAAAGCAATACAGATATTGGTCATCATGCAATCTAAAAGCTAAATTCTTCCTCTCTTTTGTAGGATTTATTGCCTTTTCACTCCTGCCCCACCTAGCACAAAAAGTGAAACTTTTACTGTGTTTTACTCCTGCTTACACATTAAGGGGTATTACAGGACTTCCCAAAGCACTGGGAAAAATTCCTGCTGGTCTAAGAAAAGTAAGTATATTTCTCATTTTTATTAGCATATTAAACTCGTTTTTTTTTCATACAGAAGTTTTGAAAAAGCAGGCTCTCTTTCAGTTTTCTTGAAAAATGTATTAAAAGGATGATTTGTGCATTCGCTGAGATTTATTTGTTGATAATTTTAACATAACCTGGTTTTAGTAGGAAAAATAAATCAATTCTAACTAATTTTTAAATTACCTATAACGACTCTCTCATCACCCGAATATTGCTACTAAGGAGATTAAATGTGTTAAACTTTCAGTTTTAGTTGATACTGCCTGGACACTTTAGAACAGACCTGGGAATTTTATGGGCTTTANGGAGGAGGCCTAATCTGTGGGATCTAATCGGTCTAGAGGAGGTAATTGGTAGGAGTAGGAGTATTTTATACTTTTTCAGGGGGAGGAGTGTAATGGAGAGGGGATGGTTCCATGTGAGCGGTGGGTGAGTGTGCACGCCTGTGCAGCCCCACTTTGCAAGTGGCAGGCACACACGCCTGCCACTCTCACAAATGGAGCTTCGTGCATGCACACATTTACTCACTGCTTGCACAAGTGGAGCGGCACCAAATGCCCACACTCACCTGCCACTTCCATGGCCCAGTTCCCAATGGGCCACAACCAGGTACTGGGCCGCAGCACTGGAGTTGGGGACCCCTGGCTATAGATTTTCTAGGCATTCTGTAAAATGCCTAATTTCACAGATTGATGGTAACAGAGCAAAGCAGAGGTGAAGATTCTAATATCTGGAGCAAGACTGGTTTTGATACTCCCAATATTAATCATTTCTGCCCTTTCTATATTGTAATTTTTCTAGAATTGTTCTCTCATTAAAATTACAAATGAAGATGTTGGCTTTGTTTTGGCATTGAAAATTCTAATATAGGAACTAGAAATCCTTTGAGTTCTTGATCTAATGAGCAATAGTGACTATATAATTGATTTTGGCCAAAGAGAATATTTTATTTGCAGCCTCAAATTATTCAGTACTGGGGATATTCCAGTGAAGAATACGAAGTCCTGACTGATGATGGCTATTATCTTAAGTTAAACAGAATTATTTCCCGAAGACTTTTTCCTCATCTGACAGGTATATCTATAAAGTAGTATTTCAAAGGGAGCATTTATAAATGTGAAGTGATAAATGCAGTAGAAGTGATTAAAGCTAATACTTAGGGTATTGCTTGCCACATAATCAACACCCAGATTAACAGCAATTAACAACAAACAATTAAGCGGAAACCAATACTCTTAATGAAGAAATTACCAAGGAAAAAAATATTAGGGACAAACCCCACTTGCACTGATGATATTACCTAGTTGGGCAATAAAACATTTGCAAACAAACAACGAAACTCAGAAATCCACACTACTCAAATGCTTTTACAATTGTTGAGAAGTATTGTATAGGCTTCTCCAGAAATATGGGCAGAGTCATTAGATGGTTGGAAAATTACTGTAGGGAATTTTCAATTTAATCTGCACCTAGCACACGCCCAGTTAATCCTTATATCTGGATTAGAGGCACCATACACAAATCACTCTGTATAGTTAGCAAAAATATAGATAGCTTGATGTTTGTTTATTTAGCAGAGTAGTCTTTGGCTATTCAAACTTTTAACATTTTTGTGTACATACCGGTAGTGGCAGAATGTAGGTCCTACTCCTGTATTTCTACCACTCCTTTGTTCTCAACAATTTGATGAACAGGGATGATATATACTGTATACAACACAGCTAATATGCAATTAGTAATAAACTGATGATTTCTTTCCCAGGGCCTAAGCCAGTTGTTTTATTAGTACATGGTTTGCTGTTTGAAGGGAGATGTTGGATTGCAAATCTTCCCAGCAACAGTCTGGGATTTTTTCTATCAGATGCCGGCTACGATGTCTGGATAATAAATATCAGAGGGACCACGTGGTCTAGAAGCCACCAGAAATTTTCAATTGACCAGGAAGAATTCTGGGAATTCAGGTAAATTCAAGAAAGAATACACAGGGACAATGGATAGCAAATGTTAAGGGGATACACATATATCTATGTGAAAAATTTGACTAAATTATGGAATTATGAACAATATATACTGAAAGCATGGTATGAATGTGAGATTTTTGTGGCACAGCTCACACCAAAGTTTTCAATATTAGAAATTAATTTTTCTTTTAACATTATATACATTCCAGTACTGGATTTTGTATGTAAATATAGATGTGTATCAGTGGTGGGTTTCAAAAAATGTTCGAACCTACTCTGTGGGTGTGGCCTCCTTTGTGGGAGTGGCTTGCCACCCATGTGACCAGATGGGAGTGGCTTGCCACCCATGTGACCGGATATGAAGATGCCGACGACACTTGTCAGAACCACCTTAAATTACCTCACACACAGCACTGGCATGCATAAGAATAGGATGTAAACTTGTTTTTAAAAGGCATCTTTTGGTTTGCGTTAAAACAACTTCAACACACGCAATGTTCTGATTGCACCACAAACGCAGTAGTCATCCTTACCTTTCACAGAGGCCCTGAGTTTTATAAATAGGAGCATGATAATGTAGAATAATCATATCCAAGGACCAGTGGTGGGTTTCAAAAAATTTTGGAATCTCTTCTGTAGGTGTGGCCTGCTTTCCGGGTCCACTGGTGGAACCTCTTCTAACTGGTTCGATAGATTTGACAAACCGGTTCTACCGAATAGATGCGAACTGGTAGGAACCCACCTCTGATGTGTATGTAGATTTTAAGTTCAAATTGTCAAGAATTAAAGGAGTTTGTGTATATCATATGTTCAAGGGAGTTATTATATAATCATTTTACAATACTCCCTGTAGGAAAGCACCACATTGTGATTTGGAAAATATGCAATGCATAATAAACATGATAAGCTAAAAATAATATAGAAATATAGACATTAAAAATGAAGGGAAAGGAAAAGAAATTCAAAAGCACTTATCTAACGTTCGTTAAGGTGCTTAGAAGAGCCCAATGAACTTCAGGAGACAAAAGCATTGCCATGACAGAAAAGGGATGCCTGCAGCTAAGTTCAAAATAGCATTCTATAGTTCTGGTCATATCCAGCAATATTCCACCTATCTATTTTGACAATCAAGCAGGTGAAAGCAATATCTGAATGTTTATGGAGCGGAGTGTTTATGGCATTATATCACTTAAATGTAATCCATCTTAAGTGGCAGCCAGTTGAATGTTTCAACAAAGATGTATCATGTTACGACCAGGCTTCCCACATAAAAACCTGTTTGTCACATATTTCCTCCACCTCAAATGAAAAAAAAAAAAGATCTCCTAAGATTCCCACAATTTCAGCAGTTGGTAATTTTGCCACAACAGAGATTGTGTTGGCTCCCTCAAAAGGCAGGCCACCCTCTTCTGTTCAATCTGAAATAAATTCTAAATTGAACTGTTGCTTCACTTATAGGTTGAGTTAGGACATGCTAGCTATGAAATCCCAGGCTGGTCCTAGATCAACAACAATAATATGCCAAGTTAAAGCCTTCAAGGCTACACTAATTCTGAATTTTATGTTGACTTTGGGATGACGATAAAGGACAGAGAAACTCTATCTTCCCCTGCATTCTACTTGCTGGCCTGATGCTACACCGAGAAACCAAATAGCAGAACTAGATGAAAATCAATCCAACTTATCATTCAACAAAGTTTCTTTCATTGTTAGCTCTACAAAACAAACAACGTGCACAGTCACCATGTGCTTTACTGTTTAACTGTAACAGGAAACCGGAAACTTCTCAGAGGGATCTGCCAAGCTTTAATTGAACACTTTAGACTGCTGTGAGGATGACCTCTCCATTCTGGTTGCATGATTCCTAGCTCCAAGACCCTTTGTAGGATTGACTGAGTGCTTGGCTTTTACTGACATCTCCATTTTCCATAGCGCCTTATGCTAGCCCTTCTCTTTCTCTGGCTTTAGGTAGGGAGAAATTGCAATTCTGTCCTAAGATCCAGAGAAGGTAGCATAGATGAGCAGGATCCCCACTGACTTTTGTTTATGTGTTCTTTGTTAACAGTTTTCATGAAATGGCTATATATGATATCCCAGCAACTATAGCATTCATTCTGCAGAAAACAAAGCAAAATAGATTATATTACTTTGGCCATGGCCAGGGAGGAACTCTGGGTAAGTTTAAAATGTATATATGTACTCTTGTATTCTTGCCACAATTTGATAAGAATATAAAAAAACAATGTTTTCTTGCATATTAGTCAGAAGATTGCTGTTTTGTTTTTACACCTATTATCCTATACACAGATTTCTATTGATCTTGTTTTGGAGGTTTCAGAAACTAGAATGTTAGGGGCCTACTTTGAAAATAATGATGGTGAATTGGATAATAAGAGCCGAGGAGAGGAGGGAAAGAATAGTGCCCCGGGAGACGAGAAAGGGGGAAATGAGAGTCAAAACAGAGATGAGAGACCGCAGACAAGGCAGACAACAAAACCCAAGGCCCTTCTTAAATAAACATGGCGGATGAACTCCACTTAATTTCTTTAAACATAAATGGTTTGAATTCACTAAGAAAGAGAAATAAAATACTGAATGCTNCATTTATCATTCTTATACATTTATTATTTCATTTAATAGGTTATAATATACAGTTTGAGGGTTTCAATGTTTTTTTTTCTGCTGTTAATCTATACAGAGCTAGGATGTGGCTGTTCCTCATAATGATATGCTTAATGCAGCAGGCTGAACATTCAGAAGGATCTGTAAGCCATTTGAATCCTCAAGAATTCATGACGATTGTAAGTTGCTTATCTGGATGCCTTTGAAAACAAAACATTGAATCCACACACTAAAATCATGCTTACAATTTCACTTATTTAGTTAGTTATGTTTCATATTTCTAAACTGCCCATCTCCCTCAAAGAGGTGCTCTGGGTAGTGTACAATATAATATAAGCGAGAAATAAAACCGTATAAAAATATCATTAGAAATTAAAAATGAAATTAGGATTAAACATTTCGGATTTATAGAATAATGACAATTAAACATCAAAAGGGGTGAAAAATCCTAAAATTACCATTTAGTGTTCAATTATTACAGGTGGGATGGAGACTTCAAGGGACTAGCCAGCCCCACAATTGCAAAGGCTCCAGTGGTGGGTTACAGATCCCGTTGCAACTGGTACGGTGGCGATGGGGCACAGCGTCCTCCACATGAACGGGTGCAGTGCATGTGTTATTACCTTCCAGCGACACCTCCGTAAGCCTCCGCAATGCTCCAGCTGCTTGGTGGAGCATTGCACAGGTGCTGTATGTGCCATGCACATGCGCAGAAGCGCCAAAGGCTTTAAAGGGCAGGTAAGGAGCGCAGGCAAGTGGGTGGGCCCTCTGGAGCACCGGAATGGAACGGTACTCAGTGCTCCGGGCAGGCTCCAGTACACCCGTACCGGGGCGTACCGCCTGCAGCCCACCACTGAAGAGCTCGGAGCCAAGTTGTGATCCCTTTACAGAAGGCCAAGAAATTAGAGGTTTTCTTCAATTTTGCGACCAAGATGTTCCACAAAAAGGGATCAGCAGCAGAGAAGGCTAACCCTTTATTGAAAAGACGTATATGAAAGTGAAGGAAGAGATGCAAAATGAAGTTTAGGACTTTCTTATTTAAAAAGAAAAAAAGAGGAAAAAGACCACTATTGACCTACCTGTTGCAACAAGGAAGACTAGAATGGCATTTTAGTATGTTTGAATGTTGAATGTTTATTTTATTTATATGCNCCCAGGGAAAAGGGCGGCCTATAAATAAACTTTCCAATTCCAAATTAATCCATGTAAACAAAAGCAAGCATTGCTATACACTTACCATATATGATTATTAGACTGATCATATATATGGTTACTACTAAAATGAGCATCAACCTCTTTAGATAATTTTACATTTTCTAATTAAAGATCAACATGGATGTAAAATCCAAAAGCAAATATCTCCAAAATATAGCTTACATCTTCCTAAACAAAGCAGGTATGAGTACATAAATATCTAAAAAAAAAGATTAACATTGAATCATGAGAGTAAAATGTTTAATAGTAGGACACAACAAAAGGACCAAATTTCCATGAAATAGATAATTTATTTGTGGATGATAGGAGGAGTTGAAGCAAATAAAGAGTAGGGCTATTGAACAAAGTAAGCAGTGTCACCTGTTTTTCCTCTTTCTGATACCACATTCTCTCTCTTTTCTTCTCATAATTCCTCTCTAAACAACCTGTTTCCTGTGGCTTGAGGTATATCAAGAAAGAGGCAGATATTTCTTATAGAGATATAAATTTGTCAAGAGTTTTTTTCTAATTAACTCCAGTACTTCAGGTTTCCCCTGTCTGCTTCTTATTCCACATATACAATATATACACATTATACCATTTTGTTTCAGGGTAAATAATGTAGTTTTGCATTCTTTGCATTCTCTCTTCATACATTTCCTTTTTGGGATTAATTACAATGTCTTCCAACTGCCATATGCAGATACAGTCTACACACATACAGTACATTAGAAAGTCACATACCATAGTAACCTTAAATGTTTTATCATTTTTCCACATGCATCAATTTATATCTTATCATTTTCAGTAATTTCAGTGCTTTCCATTTATTTTTAATTAAATGGCAACAATTATAGTGCCCTCTTTAATTTCATTTTTTATATACAAACCTATAAAATATACCTTACAACATTTCTTCATTTCAAATAATCTCAAATTATATCACATCTTAGTGACTCCTTGTTTAGCCTTTTCTTTGTGTCTACTTTCCATTAATTCTACTGGGAGATTAATCTAGTTTCTACTAGATTACTTCAGTAACCCCATTACATTGTATCAAATGATGGTTATATCAATCTGTGACAGCAGTGTTAGTAATGGCTCACAACTAATCTAAGTACTCTCCAAATGTGTGGATGTCAGTTTCCAGAATCCATAAGTCCCCCATGACCAATGCTGAGAAACATAGGAGTTGTAATCTAGACATCTGAACAATGCTATAATTGCAGAAGATTGTTGTGATTTAAGTAGTATATTTCTATTCAGTGACTCTGCCATCTGAATAACATCACACCTGTCGACAGTGGCAGCATTACCATTTATTTATTTTATCAATTTCAACCACAAACTCAAAAGGTTTATAATTAAAAAGTAAGGACAATGAATAAAAGAAGAATGCATAAGAGGCCTAAAGACAGACATTAAAAAATCCCCCATCCAAAAAGGGATTCACCGTCAACCTCTTCCAAGACCTCATTTCATCCCATATAAGAAGTCAATAAAAATTGGAGAAGGGTAGCAATAGGAATTCCCATCCTTTTAAGTTAGATATCCTTTCAATTTATATTCATTGTGAGGTCAGATATCTAGCATGAATATGACAGTACTGGTCCTACAATCCTAATACCATCTATTGTATATATATTTATATCTAACATATGCACATCTTTCTTTTGTGGAATATAGTCCTTTTCAAGGAGGGTTTCTCAAGGGCACTTGTATTGATAATAATATTTTCCTAGAGACTTTTTATACTTAAGGATAAAAAAAAAATTTAAAAATGAATCAACTGAACACCAAAGATTTTGGCAAGTAATAAAGGTGGCTCTTTCAACCAACTCTGTTTCTTATTACACTATTTACAGAAACCATCCCCAAATGCTCCTCGTCCTATAAGGATAAAGCCCAAAAGTTCTCCACTCATTGAAAAAATGCAGGTAAGATCTGATTGCATCACTGCTCCTCTCCTAATGTTTTTAAGACATTAATAGTTAAAATATTTGGAACCTCTAGTTGCTGATGTCATGCAGGAATTTTTTTTTAAAAGACAGAACGATAGTGACAATATGGAATGTAAGTAGTATGAACACAGGAAAGCTCAACAAAATGAAAATGAAATACATTGACTACACATTGACATCTTAGGCATCAGCAAATTGAGTGAAATTTCAGAATATCATAATGCTGACTACTACTCAGAACAAAAAAAAATCCCAGAAAGACAGTGTTTATATACAATGTAGTCAAATACAGAATAATATCAATTAGACTTCCTGCACAGCTCTTTAATAAAATGGTTATTCAGATTTAATTCCAACCATTGAGGCAGGAAGAGAATTGATGAGTTTTATGGTTAAATTCAACATGAAATCATCAGCTGGAAAAGGAAAAAGGAAAAATGTAGTTCAACTTCAAATTGATTTTTAAAGGATGCCAGTGAAGATAGAAGTACGGAAATATACTGAAATTCTATGCAGTACAAATGCCCCTATCCAACATGGTGAGACAGACTAGCTCCAAGTTAGTGGACAAGTGAGAAAAGATTGTATATTCTCTCTGCATTTGTTCAGTATGCTGAGAGAAGCTAATCAAGTTTCCTTCCAATAATTGGATTGGTTGGAATTGGAAACAATTATTGGATGGAAACGAATCAAGGACAGAAGTTAACTAAGGAGAAAATTGGTAACAGTGAGGACAATGAACCAGTGGAACAAATTACCTTTGGAAGTTGTGGATGCCTCATCATTGGATGCCATTAAGAAATGACTAAAAAGCCATTTGTCAGAATTAGTATACGTCTCCTGCTTGAGCAGGGCATTGGAGTAGATGACTTCCAAAGTTCCTTCCAAGACTGTTATGTTATTCTGTCACAATTTATATTAGGACAATCTCAGTGGTGGGTTCCAGATCCTGTTGCAACCAATACGGTGCAACGGGGCCCGGCGTCCACCATATGAATGTGCGCAGCGCCTGAACACATGCGCACAGCATGAACATGTGTTCTACCATCCATTGCCGCCTCTGCGATGCTCCATTTGCTCGGTGGAGCATTGCACAGGCACCATACATGCCATGCGCATGTGCAGAAGCGCCGAAGAGTTCAAATACCGGAAAGGACAACGGGCGGGCGGGTGGGCCCTCCAGAGCACCATACCGGAACAGTACCCGGTGCTCTGGGCAGGCAGCAGTACGCCCTTGCCAGGGCGTACCACTTGCAACCCACCACTGGACTGTCTCACCATACTGGAAATAGAGAATTTAAGATAATCTTGAATGTAAAGAATTAAAACTGTTGATATTATGGCCATCTTCACCCTTTCTTTGATACCAAGCCACTGTTGATATATTTTATTGTCTGAAATACTAGAAAATCTATAAGGCTTCAGCCAACATACAAAAATAGTGTCTACATTCAGCTGTTTTGGAAAGGCAGCTATTTCCACCTCTGCTCTTCGCCAAATTATTTGTTGACATAGTCACCATTAGATACATCAGTTGGTGAAACAGATATCTTAAACACAAGAGCTCCCTCTTGTGATTATATTACAACTGTCATGTTTTCTAAAATACTGCCTGCTAATAGGCCATCCTAGAAATCATATATGAAAAAATTAACAAGTTATTGGCAGAGGTGGGTTGCTGCCAGTTTGGCCCGGATCAGGCAAACTGGTAGTAGTGGCGGCGGGAGGCTCCCTCCACCCTCACGGACACTTCTGCTCGTGTGAGAGTGCCCAAACCGGTAGTAAAAAAATTAGCAACCTACCTTTGGATATTGAAATGTATATCTAACTTAATAGGATGCAAAAATTCATTCTGAGTTGGAATGTGAATGAGGACAAATTCATGGGGAGCATCAATAAAGCATTACCATGTGCAATAAATAATAAAACATTTATTTTCACAAAGTACCAAATTTGATTTCTTTTTTTCCTATTTCAAATTTTTCCATCCATAAACCAGTGCTCGGTATTCACTGAGAATCCTCATTCTTAAATGGTCTATCATCATAAAATTATGGAAAGCTTTGAAGAGACCTTGGAGACCAATCTCCTGCCCGCTGCAGAATTCATCATTATAGCATCTATGATAAATGGTCATCCAACCTCTCTTTAAACACACCCAGTAATGGACTCCTCTACGTCTCAACACATTCTGATTTAATTGTTGAATAACAGTTAACAATAGGATATGCTTCCTGATGTCCAATTGAAGTTTATTTCCTCTGTAATTTCAGCCCATTGTTTATTGTCCTGTCTTCTGAAGAATTCTGAACTATTCTGCCTTGTCTTCTAATTTCTCTTGAACATGACATTATACATCTGTTTATATTACCTAAAACTGCTTTTGTTTTGGGGGGAATTGTATCACATTCTTGGCTCACGTTTACCTTGTGCTTCCCCAAAATACTAAGATCCCTTTTTACATGTGCCATTGTCAATATGGTCTCCTCATACTAAATTTCACATCTATGAATTTTTATGCTGGGAAAAAATATTTATTTCATTGAAATTAATCTTGCTAGATTTTGCCATTGTTTTTTGCTTATCAGGTTCTTCCTGAATCATGATATTGTCCCGCTTACCCTGCCATGTGTGACATTTGCAAATTCAATAATCGTATTCTTTAAACCATCATTTAAATTATTTATAAATATGCTAAATATCACAGAGCCCAGATATTTCTTGCAGCTTGACATTAAGATATTGATGTTCTTGTTGACTGTGATCATTCAATTAGTTCTATCATCTAATGATAGTCTAGCCCAGGGATGTCAAACTCAGCATCCTTTGCAAACCGAAGTTCCTTTCTGACTTTCTTTACTGGTATGCCTGTTTAGCTATCATGTCTCAATTGCCATTTTATAAACATATCCCTTTTAATTCTCAGCTTCATCAAAATTTACTATGCATTCACAATTATTTCATAAACTATCTCATATTTTTCTCACTTTAGAATGGTGGTAATTGTACATCCAATATCTTATTTTTTAAGACATTTCTAACTTTCCTATAAAACCTAAAAGACTAGGATAAGGATAGATCGTCATGAAAAAAATGTAGTTGCTAAGACAATGATTTGATGTTACGTTTCACTCAATCAACTCTTCTGTATTCCCTTAGACTTGAGAATTTTTGTCTATGGAATCCTATTAAGCACTTGGAAAAGTTTATTAAAACTGAATATTCTAAAATCTGATATGCATGTATAATTCTGCCACAATTTCTCTATTTGTAGTATCTTAAAGCAAAGGTAATATGGTATGTTCCCACTGCTTTTACCTCTTCAGCCAGTAGTTTTTTTATTTATTAGAATAAGAGCCAACTCTCCTGTTTCTCCTTTAAGAAACACATGAAAGAAAAGAAACAAAATCAAGAAGACAAGAAATGGCTTTTGGGAACTGTATAATCTTGGCTGAGTTGGTTTTCTAACAGATGTCTTCATAGTTGAAGCCCGAATGTTCTTAAATTTGCAGTGTCCAGATCTCTTGCCTGGCTCTGCTGGTTACAATAATCCTATAGTAAAAGCCTTTCCTCCCCCCCCCCCGGCCACATTTTTTTTGTACTCTTACCTATGCTCTCAATTAAACATTCATATTCAAACTCTGGGATATTAATACATGTGTCTACTTTCTTCACATATAATGCCAATCCTTCATCTGGGATATTATAGTAAATAACATATTTGTTAATCTTTGTATTTCACTCATGCATTCTATCTTGCCAGAATCCATCCATCCATCCATCCATCCTTCCTTCCTTCCTTCCTTCCTTCCTTCCTTCCTTCCTTCCTTCCTTCCTTCCTTCTCATAAACTGCCTATTTCAAATGCATGACTCCAGTTAGCAATAGCAATAGCAGTTAGACTTATATACCGCTTCATAGGGCTTTCAGCCCTNCCCCCCCTTTTTTTAAACCCTAGGTTATTGTGGTGTCTATTAAATATACAACAGAGAGATACGGGATGTGTGTATGGGGGGAAACGTAGTAGGGATGCACCTGTGATCAAATGACATATTGTATGGGATGATGGGGTTTTTTCTTTCTTTTTTTGTTTTTCCTTTCCTTTTCCCTTTGTTTTTTTTCCTATTGTTATGTGATGTTGTCTATGTAATAAAAAATAAAATTATTAATAAAAAAATAAAAATAAAAAAATAAAATAAAAAAAGCACCCAGAGCCAAAGGTCCAGAGAAACCGTAATTGGGTGGACGATTGTAGAATAGGGGGGAGATGGAATGATGTAGTTAAGGCCCAGCAACAGTTTACAGAAGGCGTACAGGGGGGTGTCACGTTTCCCTCTCCCCTCACCCAAACCATGAGAAGGAGAAGTCCAGTCAAACAGTAAGCAGGAGAAGAAGAAGGCAGCGTTAGTATAAAGGCTGAGCCAGACCGAGAGGGGGGGGGGGGAAAGGGCGTCCGGAAGGGCCATGGTGGTGGCAATTGTAGCCAGTTGTCCAATTCGCCCAACCTCAATGGGCGCCCATTGTTGATGTAATCAAGCCAGAATAAAAAAAACCCAACTAAATCTGATTTCATTTCAGTTTCATTGAAATTAAATATGAGATTATTTATTCTCTGGCCATGTATCTCAACATTTTTGTCTGTATGATTATACATTTTAAATGTGATAGCACTTTTTGGAGGACTCTAAACCTCCATGTGGCCATATCTGATTCAAGTTATATTAATTGCAGGAGGCGCAAATTGGCAGTGAGAGGGCAAAAACCAGAAGTTTCCCTGCCTTTTTCTACTATCATAACTTTTTTTTAGTGATATCCTCCACCACCACTCTTTTGAACTCCCCTCTATTCCCCTTCTTCTTTGACAAGGGAGTTATTTGCTGAAGAATAGGCCACTCCTGCCAGGGGGATGAACTAAATACTTGAAAAAGACTTCTGAAATTGAACTATATGGTATATTGACTGTAGCTAAGAGTCGCA